TAAAACTATGTCAGCTCCTGCTCCCTTAAGATTACAAGAACCATCCACATATAAGGTCCATCATTCTCTCTCTAACGAAACCCACCCTTTTGCGTCATTATCTCAACTCGTCTACACTTGTGGTCGATGTCATGCACAGATTGTCAGCAAAAGGGTTCAGCCTCATTGTTGTGATCATAGTGTAAAATACTTCATGATTCAGGTTCTTAATCTTTAAGCACTCACAACTCTAACTTCACACTTTAGGTTGGGATGTTTAGGTACTCGTCCTCTCAAAGCCAAGTGAGGGTTGTGTTTATAAAAGATACTCCAACACTCAAGTCAATCAAGTGTGTCAGACGACAATAAATATAATAATTAATGAACATAATAAATGTACCTTATGTATTATGCTATTTATACTATGTTTATAGGTTTTTTATCTATGTGAGTCCGATCCATGTAGTTAATTACTATTATTAGTCTTTGGTTAGTAAATATGTTAAACATACATTAATCATGATATTAAATTAGTCAATATTTTCTGTATGTCAGTATTGGTTGCCAAATATGTAGTGTGCCTAACCATCATGCATGTTCATATCATAAGGACATAGTATATCTATACATTTTTAAAGAAGATCAACTCAATTATTATTTACTTTTATTTAGTATTGTCCTGTCAAGGATTTTTTTTTCAAATTTACTAATTCTTTTTGTTTGTGATATTACGACCGTTGGCAAAATATTTTTCGTATATTTAGTTAATTATACACCAGGAATTCACTTAGAATAAGTGAGAAATTGCATGGTTTTATTAGAAGTGGAAGAGTTGTTTGAAGACAAGAAAAGGCAAATCAAATCAATTTGTATACACATGACAATCTCATAACTGTGCATATGTAATAAAACAAATGTTTCCACATTGCCTATTTATTAGACTTTCTAGTAATCTACAATTATAATAGTTTAATAAACTGAAAATAAATAAATAAAACCAAACAAAATTGTGATTTCTCTCATCCACGTTTAGATGGAGAGAAATATAATATGGGAGAGAAGATCTTTTCAGACGTTCAAACTACTCTTGTTTTTGCCTGAGAAAAAGAAATTAAGAAAAAGAGATTTTTAAGAATATTTCCACCTTTTCTGATAAAGTCAGAACTATCATAATCCTCACCCTAAAAAAAATCATAACAAACAAGAGCTTATCTACGAAGAAAACTTTCACTAAATAAATTAGTCTAACCATACTGGAAACGTCTCTAGCTTTAATAAGATTGTCTTTTATACCAAGATCCATAATAAAGAACAACTATCACAGTTCTTATAATTGTTTGCAGTAAAATAAGAAAAAAAACCCAGATATGATAAATAAAGATTTCTTTAAACTAATTGATAAGAAGATGATTATATGAAATAATGTAATTTTATAAATGAAAATAGATAGTAGAATTATTTACGTTGTAATTTCGATTAATTTTTTGCAAAGAATGTTTGATGAGAGCGAAAGATGGTATAAGGGGTCCATAATAGAATGAATTTTAATAAAATGGTGGTGAGTTTGTAAAATAAATGGTCAAAAAATATTTTTAATATATTGCAAAGATACAAAATAAATTATTAGTAAATTTATGAATTTTATTAATACTTAATTAAATACTGAATTTAGTTAAAATGCATGTCATTTCTATGTTGTGAGTGGTAAATTTATGAAGTGAAAGTGAGATGATATATAGTTAAGTCATACAATTTAAGGACTGTGTTAGTAAAGTGCGTCTTCCCAACACAAAATTATCTGTTACTGTTCCATTCTCATTGATTTTCCTGCTTCTCTCTGCTTTCTCCTTTCCCATTGTTTCAAGGAAAAGTCACCCAAAAACTTGAATGATAAGAAAAGTGCCCAAAAACAAGTATTTCAAGGTTACAGAAATCTGTTGAAAGCATTTATAGCTCACTGAACAAAGACAAGTTCATTTACTTCAAGTCTTTGCCTTGGTATATGAATCCACTTCTATCAGCATATACACTCCAAGGCAAAATTCTTAGCATTACATCCACCACCTCACAGGAACAGTGGCAAGATCAACTAACTCTATACTGAGATATAAACTGAGTAGTAGTAAGTAGTACCAATGGATTCATTCAACAACTTTTCCTTGCTTAAACTGGAGTAGAATTTGACACACCATATTTATGACTTTCCACATAAAGGAGCTTAATTCCATACTAAAAAGAGAAAAATTAATTTATTTTTATTTATTAAAGAAAAAGGGTTGTCATTGATGCATTGGTGGTGGTGCCATTGGGTAAGCAAGAGGAAGAACATAAGGTGGATGAGGATGAGCATGTGGATGGGGTCCAGGAGGAAGCATGACAGGAGTTCCAACTGCAGATGCCATGTGCCCTGGAGGAGCAGCAACAGGATGTCCAACTGGTGTTCCATACATGCCTAAACCAGGTGCTATATGGCCCTGCACTCTGTGCTTCAGTGATTGTCCTACACCCATTGTACTTGAAGAAACTGTGCTGCTATGTTGCCCTGTAATCGGTGCTTGATTACTAGCCACATCTCCATTGTTCACACTGGTTATGTCATGGATACTAGACCTTCTTCTGTCCCTATTCATAGAATTCAACCTTATGAAGTACTTCTGTGCATGGCTTGCTACTTGTGTGGGAGTCCTGGATATCACAAAGTTCCTTGAAATGCTTCTCCAGTCTCCTTTTCCAAACTTGTCTAGACCAAGTAAAAATAACCTGAAAAACAAGACATCAAAAAAATCTCTTAACTTGATTCCCATATAACCAATTTTGTGTACATCTAGCTCACTGGAGTTAATTTTGCTTGAATTGAATCAGATAGAATTGATGAGTGAGTGATGTATGGAGTATGTTATATTAAGATGAGGGAGTTAGTATGAGAGTTAAAGAGTTATGGTAAATGTATTTGGAAAGTACCTGTGCTCCTCCTCAGTCCATGGAATTCCTTTTCTCCTTTCTTGTTCTGATGACCTTGACAAGGCTCCTTTACCAGTACTGTGAGTGGTGGAGTCATGTCCTAATCCAGAAAAACCAGTGGAATAGTTACAATTTGATCTTTTATCTGAACTTGAGGCCTTGGAAGAGCCATGGAAGTCCTTATTTGAAGAGGTGGTTTCCTCAGAAGTATAGTTGGGGAATGGTATGTGACCTGCCTCTATTGCACTTACATCCTCCACTAGAACCTGGTAATGCTGCTTCACTTCTTCCATGCTTTTGCTGGGAACTGCTGAAGCAATTTTCTCCCATTGCTCATTTGAGGCTTCCTCAATCCAATGCATAGCTATGGCATTCTCAAATGCCTTTTCTTCCTCATAGTTCCAAAGGCTTCCACTTGATGACATGGTGGCTCTTTGTTGGATTTGCAATTATGGTTCAGCCTTGAAGGATGAGAATGGTGGAATTGGTAGTAGATGGGTGTGTAAGTCATTCTTTTGGTGTGTGGATTTTGTCTCTATTGAACAAAGTAGCAGAAGGGGTGCGCAGGATAAGGAGAAGAATCATAATGTGTGTATGATAAGAAGTAAAGTGGTATCAAACAATCCATTTCAAGAGGACCACACTCTGTAATTGAAGGGATGTGTAATTTGTCATCTTCATTCACATATATTTTTTTTCTTGTTTGCATATTACTGCAGAAACAACTAACCACAAATTGTAAATCAGTATGAGTAACATATTTACACCTTACAAATATTACAATAATTTTTTATAGGTTTTTTTAGGGGTGCATAGACAGAAATAAAAACTATACTAAAAAAAGAAAATTGAATGATTTTCAATTATCTAAGAAGAAAATAGCACAAAAATGGTGTAAATTTATAATATGTACTTACATTTTTCTGAATGAGTGAGTATATAGTAGGCCCAATAGAATTTTCCCCAATACAACCATAATAAAATGGAATCTCGACCATGCCAATGAATAGACATCTAGGCATAAAGACAAGTTCATTAAGGTATGGCTTCTTTTTCCCTTGTTATTCAATCATTTAAGCATGGCTTGTGATTTTTCAACACGTCTAAATTTTTCTTGTCACTTGTTCCTATTTAATTACCGTTTTGAATTGAATTAACAGTGATTTTGTTTGGTTTATCTGATACCAGTGAACATAGTAAAACAATTATAGGAGACAGAAGCATACTTTTCAACCTAAAATTCTCCATCAAATACAAGAATTTTGAAATTGAAATCAAATGTGATAGATATCATGCTGCCCTAATGGAAGGTTCACAAATACAAGACACATGCCAGTACACCCAGCAGAATTATAGTATTTGTCCTATTGATAGAGAGAAAAGTAGAGACGTGGCGAATTTTCGACGTCTGCTCTGGGATAATATGAACCACATTTCTTTAGTTTCCTTTTTTCTCAAATAGGAACCTATTCATTCATTCATTCAAATTATGAAAACTAGAACAATACTATCCACATCCACCCACGCACTCATCTTATAAAGTAAACACTTTTCACATCAAAATATATTATGTAGAGTTTCAAGTTGCAGCTGGGAATAGTATTTCACAACATCAAGTTGCACCATATCAACCCAAACTTCTAGAACACTATTCTCCCCTTACCCCACTTCTCCATAAGGGGGACTTTTAATTCTTAAAAGATCCACCTTCATGTTCTATGTGTTTGATTAAAGTTCCATTCTATCAATTGATTGTCTTGCAATTTTATACCTCAAATTTGAGGCATTTATGCGCATAGGAAAAAAATCAGAGATTTTAGTTTGTAATTTCCCTTTAGCGTATGTAAGTTAGAAGTGACATCCTTCAGATACGTCTAAAGGAGTACAATTTTATGGCAAGCAACAACAAAACATTTGCTTATGATTAAGACCTGCTGATGTTACCATATAACTACTTCACTTCTCATTTACTGATGATATAAGTATCTCACTTCTCTTGTAAAATAAAACTGCTACCACACATTGTTTCCTGAGGCAGAACTCGGTTATCTATGATACTGTCCCAAAAGATTGGTCTTGTGTATATATGTAATAGGTCCCATGTTCAAACTTCTACTTTTTTTCTTCAAATAAGATATATGTATAGGTCCCATGTTCAAACTTCTACTTTTTTTTCTTCAAATAAGATATATGTAAGTCTATCTATATGAAATTGATTTTTCTTAATTACTTGAATAAAATATGTTATATTCAAATTTTGGATATTATCCATAGAGAAAATTCATACTGGATATGGGTTTTGTATCAACTGTAGGACAAACAAAATCAGTGGAGTAAAATAGTATATATATGTTTGAAGTTTAAATTTACTTGAAAGTGAGAATCATTTTATTATTTTCATTCATATCAATTACATTCTCATTATCTCTATTTTACCTGTAGTTATTTAATTAAAAAAATAATAATATACTAAAAAGTAATCTAAAAAATCTTACACCTATTTTTTTTAATTAAGAAGATTTTATAGATATTTTTTTTAAACAAATTTTTTTATAAATATTTCCTCTTATTACAACATATTTTTACTGACTTTTTTTAGTGAGGTAAACAAATTCTTTTTTTACATTGGAAACACCATTCCCTCTCTCAAAATGGTAGGTTCCACTGAGTTCCGTTGGTAAGAGGGTTTTGATTTTGGTTGGAGCCAGTGACCCTGAAATGGTAAGCATAAACTAAATGCGGTGTGCAACCAACCTTGACTGATGGACAAAGTGTCAACATCCCAAAACTTTCATGTAACACTGAGCTTCAGCTCTCTTTTCATCAACATATGAATCAGAGTCCTAATCCTTAGTCACGCCATAAAATTACAATAGGATGTAGCAAATCCAGCATTGAAGTGACAAGTAGATGCAATGGTTGACACAAGTCATAATAATCATAGTGATAATTATGATGATAATAATGATCATAATAAACCATTCTTATCATAATCACTCTATAATGGACTAAAAGCCTTATTTGTTCACATTATTTTTTGGACAATATTTTGAAATATAAAATAAAAACAAAGTCAAATATTTGTAATCATTAAAACAGAAAAAAGTGCTCTCAGATTAAACAGGTCATCAACTTCCAGTCTAGCTTCAACTCGGTTTTCTTATGCTACACAGTCCTTGTCCTATTTTTATCAAATATTACTTGATAATCTGAAGCGTTCATACTTGATAATCTGTCTAAGTATGTCCAACGATTAAAATTTTCAGAGGAGAGTTAGACAGATTCCACCTTGATAAGCTTTTAAAAGTTCCAAAGCCTCTCAGAAGTGATTAATCAGATGTAAATTTTGCATATTATACCTGCCTACGTATTATTAAGATCGTTCTATCAATATTTTGTGTTGCTAAGAAAATGGATGTTGCAAAGTGACTTGCAAATAGCAATTTGACACTGCAAGTGTAAGATACAATCCCTGTAAATGAATCTTTCCTTGAGAGAAAATCCATTGCATAGATTTGAGAGTTTTTGATTTGAAGAGAGCGTGGAATAGAGATCATAACCAAAGGCTAAAACGAAGTGAATAATTTACAGTATTGTCGGTCATAATTAAAACAATATGATGCCACAATTATCACCTACAAAGGCAATACATACAACCTGGCAAGTTTCAAATAAATCAATTTCTATTTGTTTGTCAAGAGCCAAGTTCATATGTCTGCTTCTTGAAGGGGATTTGATCAACCCAAACGCGGTTACCCCATAGCTGTTTATTGAAGAAAAATGATAATCAGGAAACATGTTCTATTGAAAGGAATTGCATGCTCACAAAGTTAAATGGGATGTCTCCAAAAAAAAAAAAAAAATTAACAGTGATTTTGTTTGGTTTATCTGATACCAGTGAACATAGTAAAACAATTATAGGAGACAGAAGCATACTTTTCAACCTAAAATTCTCCATCAAATACAAGAATTTTGAAATTGAAATCAAATGTGATAGATATCATGCTGCCCTAATGGAAGGTTCACAAATACAAGACACATGCCAGTACACCCAGCAGAATTATAGTATTTGTCCTATTGATAGAGAGAAAAGTAGAGACGTGGCGAATTTTCGACGTCTGCTCTGGGATAATATGAACCACATTTCTTTAGTTTCCTTTTTTCTCAAATAGGAACCTATTCATTCATTCATTCAAATTATGAAAACTAGAACAATACTATCCACATCCACCCACGCACTCATCTTATAAAGTAAACACTTTTCACATCAAAATATATTATGTAGAGTTTCAAGTTGCAGCTGGGAATAGTATTTCACAACATCAAGTTGCACCATATCAACCCAAACTTCTAGAACACTATTCTCCCCTTACCCCACTTCTCCATAAGGGGGACTTTTAATTCTTAAAAGATCCACCTTCATGTTCTATGTGTTTGATTAAAGTTCCATTCTATCAATTGATTGTCTTGCAATTTTATACCTCAAATTTGAGGCATTTATGCGCATAGGAAAAAAATCAGAGATTTTAGTTTGTAATTTCCCTTTAGCGTATGTAAGTTAGAAGTGACATCCTTCAGATACGTCTAAAGGAGTACAATTTTATGGCAAGCAACAACAAAACATTTGCTTATGATTAAGACCTGCTGATGTTACCATATAACTACTTCACTTCTCATTTACTGATGATATAAGTATCTCACTTCTCTTGTAAAATAAAACTGCTACCACACATTGTTTCCTGAGGCAGAACTCGGTTATCTATGATACTGTCCCAAAAGATTGGTCTTGTGTATATATGTAATAGGTCCCATGTTCAAACTTCTACTTTTTTTCTTCAAATAAGATATATGTATAGGTCCCATGTTCAAACTTCTACTTTTTTTTCTTCAAATAAGATATATGTAAGTCTATCTATATGAAATTGATTTTTCTTAATTACTTGAATAAAATATGTTATATTCAAATTTTGGATATTATCCATAGAGAAAATTCATACTGGATATGGGTTTTGTATCAACTGTAGGACAAACAAAATCAGTGGAGTAAAATAGTATATATATGTTTGAAGTTTAAATTTACTTGAAAGTGAGAATCATTTTATTATTTTCATTCATATCAATTACATTCTCATTATCTCTATTTTACCTGTAGTTATTTAATTAAAAAAATAATAATATACTAAAAAGTAATCTAAAAAATCTTACACCTATTTTTTTTAATTAAGAAGATTTTATAGATATTTTTTTTAAACAAATTTTTTTATAAATATTTCCTCTTATTACAACATATTTTTACTGACTTTTTTTAGTGAGGTAAACAAATTCTTTTTTTACATTGGAAACACCATTCCCTCTCTCAAAATGGTAGGTTCCACTGAGTTCCGTTGGTAAGAGGGTTTTGATTTTGGTTGGAGCCAGTGACCCTGAAATGGTAAGCATAAACTAAATGCGGTGTGCAACCAACCTTGACTGATGGACAAAGTGTCAACATCCCAAAACTTTCATGTAACACTGAGCTTCAGCTCTCTTTTCATCAACATATGAATCAGAGTCCTAATCCTTAGTCACGCCATAAAATTACAATAGGATGTAGCAAATCCAGCATTGAAGTGACAAGTAGATGCAATGGTTGACACAAGTCATA